CAATTCTCTATTCAGAAAATATTGTTGGTAGCGCAATATAAGAGCCAACCTTATTGACGTCTATCGCTACGTTTCCAGACTCTCTGCCGACGTAAGAATTACCTAACAGAAAACCTAATAACAAAGCTGTCATCACTTAAGCGGAGAAATAAAAAACGAAATCTTATATAAAGTAGTCACGTTTATATCTTAGTAGACAAAAAAATTTCAAAAGATTTTATCCTGGACTGATAAAAAGTGGACGTTACAGGTACAGTGAGTTACGTACAAACTTGTTGTTTTTATTTACCTTACAAATTACTCAAATATAATGGCTGTGTCTGTCAATTTTACAACTTTACTTAAGGAACCGTGATAAACAAGGTTCTAAAAAAAAGATCCTTATAAAAACAGATACATAACAAAGTGTTATATGTAATAGTTATTTGTCCTTATGGTGTAGGCAACTATAAAACTTTAGTTGTTATAACTTCTATTCATATAATTGGCAATAATTTGTTGTGAGAGGTATTCAGAATTGAATTGTAAGGTTTTTTGTCCGTAAAAAATTGATAGCTATTTATTATTATTAAAAAATTAACTCACGTCCAGCGTTCAGCTATGAAATTAATCCAACAACAAGCCTGTTTTTTATATTTAACTGCCTTGGTGATGCAGTGGTAGCGTATGGGACTGATGGCTGCGAAGTTTGGTTGTTTTTTATATGTTCATATTTACAAAAAAAAAAAAAAGTATTCTATCAGTCAATCTAGCTTTTATAGTACAAGCTCTGCTTAGTTTGAAACTAGATGCCATTGTATGTCAAATGTCCGAAATATTATTATTATATTATTATTATTATATAAAGGTACATAAACATCCATCTGTGTTGTGACAGATTAAGAATAAGGAGTGTCACCACCCCTATTCATCCCGTGGGTGTCGTACGAATCGACTAAGGGAGCAAGCAACGTAGGCCAACAGCACAGAGAAGGAAAACTTGAAACAAACCCTATACTAATCCGTCTGGCTAGCGTGGTATAGTAGGCCAAGACCTCCTTTCTAAGTAGAGGCCTATGTCCAGCAGTGGACTATTACAGACTGTTGATGTGTCGATGATGTGTGACATAAACATCTTCAAGTTTTACCGCCTAAAGATAAAGACATAATTTTATTATACATACAAGGTTACAGTTATCTTTCGAAATCACTTATATTTTTGTTGCTATCTGTCTTTATAATAATGCTCTATGCCTCTATCATCAGAAATAATTGCATTATTTATTTCCAACTAAAGGTTTCATATTCTGTAGCAAACGAAGTCAAATATATCGAGCGTGACATAAATTACCGAGGAAGTTAACCCAATAGACATACGACAACATAATAGATAAACCTTTAAGCTCCCCTTGTTCGGTACGGTAAACATAAGTGTAATTAACCAAGACATGACGTAACCGTCTTATTAGGGTGCTTATTTATTCCCTGTGATACCTACCGCTAATTCGGTTAATATGATATGTCAATACCGTTTAATATTAAACTTGTTTGTTCATTAAAAATATATAACTTTTATGATTTTATTTTATGATGTAGGGGGCAAACGAGTAGATGGGGTTACCTCATGGAAACTAACTACCGCCACCCATAGACGCCTGCAACCACAAATACACACACTTTTTTAAAAGCGATGCGAAACGGTAAGCAGCTGCCGGTATTATAGGGAACAAGTTCTCTGATCTCTCTCTTTTGACCCCCCCGTAGACTCCCCGGAGTTTTAAAAACCTAGATGAAAGGAAAAAAAAAATTAAAAAAGTACTAATAATATTCTTTATTTGGATGGAATCTGACCCTGTTCATGACCGATGATTTGACTGAATCAATATGAGATTTTAATAAACGAGAATGTGTTTATTGAGGCAAAAATTATGTATTTAGCGGTTTACTATCTTTAGGTACCTGTTTTTCTGCAGTTATGACTTGTACATACATATATAATATCAAGGCACAGTTTCCATTTATAGTTCTTAATTTCAATACTTTTGATAGATTAATACAGCTGTTCTTGTCGAAACCATAATATGAATCTGACAGGACCTTTCCGTCCAAAAAATTAGCTGCGAATGACGATTCTTAATGTCAAATTTCCTTTTTTTTAACCAAAATACTTTTGACTTTATGCGATGCTACTCACGTCTTTATTTCCAAAAGGCCCATTAATTTCAGTTCAAATAGAAGTCGTTTATCAAAGAGCCCATCAGTCCTTCGTCCGTGTTTGGTTAGTATTCGACCAATTGACATTTGAAACGTTCGAATCTGTCATGCCATACTAATTGTGTCAAAGCTCGGCACATTTTCCTGTGAGGTTCAAAGTCAGCCTCCAGAGGCCATCTAGCTATTTTTGTCTTTTATTTGAGGCGACGACGGCTAATTTTGTTTTTTCGTATTTTTGGATGCATGACATAGTCTTTCCTTGGTTGTACGGTATTTTTAGGTTAAAAGATACTAATTAACAATAGAACAAATATAAATAAATAAGTATAATACCTGCATGAATATGTTTTATTAAATACAAAAATAATTCTAACATACGAGTATGTTACATAATACATATACTGATAGTATAATAATATGTTTTATGTAATAGCATATCAAAGATGTCCGTTTGGTGACGGATTAAGAATACAAAGTGTTACCACCCCCATTCATCCCGTGGGTGTCGTAAGAGCCGACTAAGGGAGCAAACTACGCAGGACAACAACACTGCATAGAGAAGGAAAACTTGAAACAAACCCTATACCAACCCGTCTGGCCAGCGTGGTATAGTAGGCCAAACCCTTCTTTATAAGAAGAGGCATATGTCCAGCAGTGGACTATTATAGGCTGTTGATGATGATAATTGATGATATCAAAGAAAATAAATAATACAAATTAGAGCAATATTGCTCAAGTTTTGTTCAAAAATTATGCAATATTTGTAAATACGTTTAGGAAATACCTAAACGAATATACTAATATTGTTGTTGTATTTATATTAAGTGAAATTAGTAAGTGTACGATTATATTTTCTATTGTGTTTTCTATTTGTTATGCTTATACTTTTGATTTGTATATAAAAAAATAATACTCAAGATAGCACAGGTATAAACCGTGTTGGATTTTAGTTGCTATTATTGTATTAGTCACTGTAATTATTATTTTGTAAACAATACAAGAAAAAAATACCCATTTACTAATTTTATATAAATTTGAGTATTAGTTTTTAGTTGTGTACACTAATAAATATAAAGATTTTACTGCTTTAACCTTTTGTCTAACCTTTTGGTTTTGTACTTTTACATTTTTAAGACCATTTATGTACATTATGGAACGCAATAAATTATTGATTATACTTAAAGCCGTGAATAATTTAAGTTAGAAGTTCTAACTTACAGAGACTTAAAAACTTAACCTTAGGACAATCATCACTATGTTTATTTTGATTGTAAGGTTAAGTAAAATATACTTTATAGTGATTGACAAAGTGAGAACTGTTTCCTAAAGTGCCTAATGGACGGCAATATACTGGCCTCTTTTGTGGGTCAATTGAATTCGCCCTCTATAATGTACGGGACGATAAGCTTAGGTTTACAGGTACGATGGCGGCAAAACGGTGTTATATAATAAATTTATGATTATACTAGCTGGTACCCGCGACTTACCCCTTAGTGCATGAGACCTTGGGTTTGATTACCGGATCGGGCAAAATTTTATAGGGTTATCCAGAGAGGAAATAAATAATAAAATAGCCTAAGTTACTCCTTACATAGACAGCTACCTGTTAGTAAAATATTATCAAAATCCGTCATGCCGTTTTAAAGATTACCCGGAACAAAGAGACAAACAGACAAAAAATATTTAAACTGGTTTTTAGGCATAGGTATTGTGTAAAATAAATGTAAAATAAAAAAAAAAACATTATTTCGACATTTCAACAGACACTTTAATTTTATTTTTTTGTATAGACTCTATACAAATAAATCTATACTCTAATACTATAGAGTATAGATTATAAGCTCTCTCAAAGTCAATGATCATGTAGTGTGAGGGAATTCTGGTTCTTATGAATACGAATAAGTGGCCCTTATTATTTCATGTTCCTGCTTTAGTTCCTTATCGTTTCGATATAAAATCATTGTGGCAGTGATAAGAAAGTTGGTCTTTATTGGTTCGTTTAAACTCTAAAATCATTCAAACTTGATTTTAGATGATTAAGATTTAAGATAAGAAATAATATAGGTTATAAAACATCCCGTTACGACCCTTACAAGGGGAGATAAATGAGAAACGATTGGTTTAAATTAAAGTAAGTTTTTACTCAAGTTAGCAACGTGATATAGACATGAAGATTTCATGAATAAATGCCAAAGCATAAAATATACAGTTAAATTTAGTCAGGCTGATTTCCTGCTTGAAATTCACGCATAATTAAGTAAGTAGGCTTCACGTACGCCTGGTAATATAAACATAAGTGAATATACTCGATTACAATTTAAACACACCATTGCATAATCAGCAGAGGCTCACCCGCTGCGCTGTTTATAAAACAAACATGTGATAGTACTTAGCTCTAAGCTGAAAAGGCGTTTGTGTTAAAACTTTATTTATGGACTCTTGTATTTTATGTGTGCCATACTGTTTATTAGATCATCATGAAATTTTACATATACCTACTCGTACGTTAGCAGAAATATAGGATATAGGGTACCAACGATTAAGAAATAAGTACTCTGAGCGATGATAAAAATACTTACAGTCGACCGAAGCCACGGCTAATCGTTAATTTTATAGAGGCACATTTGTCTATGAAAAGTGGTATACTAGGCAGGTCACGGTTTGTATACCGGGTGTATATATAACGGGTGCCTAAGGTATGTGAGGATATACTGTTATTAAAGCTAAATTGTTGGTATTTCTAACAAAATTTACTGGAACACAATTATACTTTTTACAGCTAGGTAAACGACTCTTAAGCGAAACAATCATTCAATAAAATCGCCTTCTGCAGCAATAACAGCCTCAATTCTCTGTCGGAAACGTCTGCATGCCCGAAGTAAATGATCCTTATTCATTTGGGTCATAACTCTGGTAATAGTAGCTTTAAGGGATTCAAGCGTGTTATGGGGATGCTTACTGGTGTCCCGTTCAACAACGCCCCATACGTAGAAATCCAAAGGATTCAGGTCCGGCGAGCTCGGTGGCCATAAGTTTGGGGTAATGTGGTCATGCAGATTCTCGGACATACAATCTTGGGTCGTCATGGCTTTGTGTGAAGGTGCAGAGTCCTGTTGGAATACGTATGGCCTCTCACCACGCACTCTGTCTATCCAGGGTTTTACAACTGTTTTTAAACCCTCTGTGTAGGCGGCAGCATTCACCCGAAGCCCGTGAGAAAAGAAGTGAGGCGGCATGACGTGTCCTTCATTGCTCACCACTCCCAAAACCATAACAGTTGCGGGAAACTTTATGTGCATAACATGGGGGACATCTGAAGGATCCGAACATAACCACCTATCATTTCGCCGGTTTGTTTTCTGATCCCGGTCAAAAAAATTTTCGTCGGAAAAAAACCAGAGCAGATTCGGACTTTCAGGATGTTGTAGCTTGTTAGAGATGTAAAGCTTTAAAGCGCTGATTTTTGTTACTGTCAAGTGTCCCCTTCCCTCTCTCAGTCAAACAGCAGTATTTGAAATTGACGGTAGTAGCATATATAACGAATTTAAAAGAAAAACTATCACAGCCAAGTAGGCTTTATTAGTTTTCGAGTAATAGTCGACCAACTAATTCGACGGTATAGACTGCCGAAACCGTTAAATGTATATAATATGAAATAACTTTAGAGCCCTACATTGGGCGTGGCTCGATACGCACTTGGCTGGTTTCTTTTGACACTGTATAGCAACTTCCATATACCACGAAAAATACTTAAATACCATCTAAAGGTGAAACAAAGAACTACGCATTCAGTTCAAAGTCCGCACCGCGCAATGAGAGTTCTCAACAATTTAAAAAACCAACATTGACCATTGGGCCGCGCTATTTAAAAACTAAACTGGGCCTCAGTTCTGCTATTTTATGTTCACGCCAAGCCACTGCCATACCACTGACACGCTATTGAGATGCCATCGAGTGGCCATTGGCATCGATTTTTAAATAGCTAAATGTGATGACCTTACATGATTTGAGGTTCAATACCGCGCGAGTTGCGAATATGTTTTTTAACAAGCAAACTTAGGGTTAAGTTTTTATACTAGCTTTTGCATGCGGATTCGCTAACTGTAATGACGATTTTATCTTTTGGCCGGGATACAAAATAGCCTATGTGCTATTTCAGACTGTAATTTATATCTTTGACAAATTTCGTTTAGATCCGTTAAACCTTTTTGGTATGATTAAGTAACTAACATCGATTTAAACTTTCAGATATCTAATAGTAGTTAGAAAAGATAAATTAAATGTGTTTAATTTGTTTAGTTAAAGGTAGTTAACAAAGTGTAAATGTAAATTTAGAGTTAGGATTGTATTACAGAACTAGACTCAAACTGTTTTAAACTAATTACTCTTTCAAGAATCTCGAATTCAATATTTAATTAAGGCCATTATAGAAAAGATTAACAACAGAAGTCCTAAATAATTTAATAAACATTGTGTTAATTAAATACAAGGAATTTTAGAGGTTCGGCTAAACGAATGAAAAACGGAACCGTTATAGAGATAATCGTGCGTATATTTGTTCCTGTCACGGAGGAGCTGTTGATTTGGGCTTAAAATAACATATTTTTGCAATATCATGTTTACCGACTTAAACTAATAATTGGAAAGTGTAGAAAATTCTATACTTTCTTTTAAACCATCGCGTTCTGCAATATATGTATAACTAACTGTACCCTGCCATGGTTCGCTGTGGTACATTGTGGTAGCAATAATGAGAAATGGGGAAAAGAACTGATGATATATTGTTTTAAAATTTGAGCTCAATTGATGCAGAACTTTTTAAGTTCTTGAACCGTACACAAACTAAAACATTATGTAAATACGAGTATGCTTACGGTAATTAACAAGCTCAGAAGAGACGAGAATTACGAGGTATGCATTTAATACCTATCGGGAATTAAATGCATACCTCTAATTTGGCTGACGTTTCAACCAGGTTACACTGACCATGTAACCTGGTCAATGGAAACTAAACTGACAAAAAGTTGCCTTTGTAAAATTTATTTCAGACTCTAATCTATATCAGCGTCAAATTTTATCCAGATTCGATCTAACAAATACCCGTCCAAAATTTCGCATTTATAATAGGAATAGGACATAATAAGACTAGACTAAAATATGAAAGAAAAATTGTTTACGAAACGGACTTAACTATTTTCCTTTTTGTAGAGCTTCTGTCTTGTGGACGTTTTATTTATTTAGTGAAGCATACATTTTCCTTATATTGTATCGAGCTCGTAGCTAAATGGTAACCAAGTAGGTTAACACATTGCAAAGTTAAGCAATCCTAGCCAGGTCAGTCTATGGAAGGGCGACTGTTTCTTAACACATTAAGACCCCTCCGTGCCTCGGAAAGGCGTTAAGCCGTCGGTCCCAGTTGCTATACGAACATCTGTGGCAATCGTTACGAGTAGTTGCAGCCCTAAAAAGTTCCATAACAGTCTTTCTGCAGAACTTCAATATTGCCTATTACTTGGGTTGTGGAATCTGCCCGTCGCTCGGCGTAAAAAATCAAAGTTCAGCCGTACCGTAGTAGACTTAAAGCCGACCTCAACCTAGTTTGGGAAACAGGATCAGAAAAGTATCGAGTATGCCTTTCGTAAATGTTTACGTGGCACTCCAATTATTCTCGTAACGAAAGAACTTACAATAGGATTGAGCGCAACACACATCGTTTGTATCGTTGTATATGATGTAAGGTGATATAAGAAAAAATATATCTTGTGTGACAATGGTATATTACAATGATATTATATTATAATGATGTACAAGTATATTATAATGATATTCCTTTTCTGACTTGACTTCAAAAACACAAAAGAAGTGGTTATCAATTGGTCCGTATTTTTTACAAATAGACTAGAAGGGACTATTACTATTATATTGTTTCATGTTATATTGAGGGTACTTTCTATAGCGTTTTACTGATTTTTTTGAGTTTATGGGGCACCATTTTTATCATCATCATCATCATCATCTCAGCCGAAAGACTCGTAGACATAGGCCTCCCCCAACGCTCTCCACAATAACCTGTAACCTTCACTAGGACCACCTTGTAGGGGCCCTACCCACGCTCCGTCTTCCGCTTCGTGGTCGCCATTCCATAACTTTTTGTATATCTATACTAATATTATAAAGCTGAAGAGTTTGTTTGTTTGTTTGTTTGAACGCGCTAATCTCAGGAACTACTGGTCCGATTTGAAAAATTCTTTCAGTGTTAGATAGCCCATTTATCGAGGAAGGCTATAGGCTATATATCATCACGCTAAGACCAATAGGAGCGGAGCACCAATGAAGAATGTTTCAAAAACGGAGAAAATTTATTACTATTGAGAGACGCAGACGAAGTTGCGCGGGTCAGCTAGTATTTATATATATGTACATTTTTATACATATAGACAATTATACTATTAAAAACATCTACATACTTCATTGGTACCGATACTAAACTACGCTCATACATATATATTCAAATACATATTCACGACTAATTCTGGTCCAGGGTAGGCAGAGACGATATAACGCCATTTGCTACGATCCTGACATACATTTCGTGCTTCTTTCATAATTATCCCGTGCTTCTTTTATAATTATTCATAAGATCCATACTATTGAGCTCATATGACCACTTATTTTTTAGACTTTCAAAGTATTGCGTACAGGCCAGCACTATCGTAACAACACTGGTTACCACAAAAATATTGACCCTATAAACATGAAGATTTAATAAAAAATTGACCCTCCTATCATATACCTGCATGAAATGAAAGAAAGTGACACGACGCACGATGCGACTACAAACTTGGCAGATCTTTGAGTGTTTGACTACATTGCCATGTTGATGTACGTTATACTTAACTTTGTGGTTATCTATTAAGATAAAAATGTTATGTTGGTTTGTGTACGCTTCAAAAACTTAAAAAAGTTCTGCACCGATTGGACTCAAATTTTGACACAATGTACCAAATGCTTCAGAGATGGTTTTATATATTTTTTCAACCACAAAATGTAACAGCTAAGCGTGGTAGGGTATAGCCAGTTAATAATAAATATAACTATTTTCTAGATCTTTTGAATGTATTATGTATGTATTATAAATGTATTTAAAATTGAAATTTATATGTATAAGCATATTTAATGTAAAAAAGAGGATAGTAATAGCAACAACTTCACACATCCGTCTGATCTCAAACTTAGGCTGTGCTGTGGTGACCAGAATGCTGATATACATACTTAAATATTTTTAAATACTTCATCATCAGCCTATCGCAGTCCACTACTGGACATAGGCCTCTCCTATTGCATGCTACTTAGATCGATTTTGGGCTTCTCGCATACAGCTAAAAGCGTGATGAAAATATTTGAATACCTACATAGCTATAATTTTCAGTGAGTACATTACAAATAACGCGAAGTTATTTCTTGAATAACACACAAGGTATGTTCAAACTGTTCAAACATTTAACATTAGTATATGTACACATATCTATGTATCTACATAAAATACATGGCACAACATAGTCATGTAGTAAAATTGCGTGACTCGCTTCACTTTATGAAGCTACGTACAAATAATAATGTTTAAAAAATGAACTACATTCGCTGAATTCACTAAAGTTTTTACTGTGTTCTACTCGTATGTTTTGAGTCAATTTGTCTAATCGTTAACAGGTAAAACTATATCACAGAGACCTAGGCTGAAACTAAATTCTTGGATAGGAAAAATACCGGTAAAGAATTGTATTAAGCGTTATGAAAACATACCTATAGGTGGAGGGACTGACGTAAAGCAGTGTTTAAATTCGGTTCCAATCCACTCTCATAAAGGTGTTCTCGTAGTAAAGTATTAAACATCCAATGTAGAATATAATGTGATTATATCGTTTTCTGACTGAAAATTGAATCGGTATTCTGCTAGTCTTAGTAATACTCTACAAAAGAATATCTCTGATGACATTTGTAAGATCGAGAGAGTAGACATGAACTGAATTTCAAACGAATTCAATAACAATATGATTGGATTATGCAGTTTCGTCCGTTCATATGTTACAAAAGTTCAAATACAACTTATGTCTAATTACAACTCCTAACTCTTAAGAGTTCCTTAGCATCACCTTGACTCGTAGTTAACTAAGTGCCTTTGGTGACAATAAGTCACCAAAGTAGTGGAGTATGTTTGGGGACGAGGTAGAGTCGCAAGTTTTCTTAGTCTATTGGCAAGTGCACCAGGCGT